GTTTTCAAATCAGTATTTATTTCAGTACAGATTTCGATAGATGTAGACGATAACAACAATAATATATCTATACTTTATACTTTAATAATAAAGCGTAAACACACACTTTGTTGCCTAAGATGTCAGCAATTACAGTATATTTTTGAATAATTCTTTTTTTAATAAAAAACCCTACACTTACATCACGCTTTAGGCTATATATTTTCACACCATTAAACTTAGGGGGTATATATTTTGGATAAAAACCCTAATGTGGGAAAGAGACCATAAGTTGCTGCTAACATCAAGGAAGCAAGATTGTCAAGGTTTGTCGTGTCATGTCATTTTGACATTTGCTATTGATAATTTGACAAATACAAACAATAAAATAAAATTTTCATAATTTCATGCGGATGAAGCCGCACGGGAACAGTTTGAGAAGCCAATGTTTAACAAGTGTAAGCATTTCTCGTATCCATCGCGGCCTAGATAACGCTATGCAATACTTATAACAACATCAATCTCACTAGACTATCGAAAATTGACTCAAAATACGATAGTCGTGTTACAATATAAACAGTTTTATAACGTCTAAAACAGGAGTAAACAAAGATATTGAAAAGTTAAATTCTTATCTTAATATCCTTTTTTACATACGAGAGTATATCTATGGTTCGATTTACAGGCATTTTATAGACAAACTAGCTTTCGTTGACAAGTATGTCTGCGTGGAATTAAAATAAAAGTAAATAGTCAATTTAGTCTTCCAGACTATCCTCTACATCTATGCCAAAATTCATCGAGATCCGTTCAGCAGTTTAGGCTACAAACTAACAAACATCCACCAAAACTTTCGCATTTATAATATTAGTATGAATCAATTGTTTTATTATAATTTAAAAAGACGAAAAATCTATCACATGATGATAAATTTGAAAAATAAATCAATTTTTAATATAGACTGTTAACTTCTTTTTTTACGTTAGTGAATATTTTAGCACTGCATTGTCAAAGCCGGAAATAAAACACATGTTTGATTGCAGCCGTTCGACGAGATGAGACACTTGCTTTTTTATAAAATGATCATACTAAGATGACGAATTGATTTATAAAGATTATATGACTTTTTAGCATTACTTAAACATTAAAAACACAACAAATAAACGTCATTTAACAAATACCAACAAAAATAACCTAATTTATTTACTTTTCATAAACTTCTAGCTTTAGCACACGACTCCGTCCGCGTGGAATTAAAAAATCAAAAGTGAGTAGCCTATGTGTTCTTTCAGACTATCCTCTACATCTATACCAAATTTCATCGAAATCCGTGAAGGCTTTTAGGCTAAAAACTCTAAGTAACATCCATCCATCCATCTAAACTTTCGCATTTATATTATTAGTTAGTTTAGATTTACTCGCAAATCCGGCCCACTGGTAATTAAGGGATTTTTTGGTAATAGGAACAGTTAAAATCCTATAAATTTAGTCACATTTGAGATTATGTGATACAATACTTCAAAGTCCTTTTAGCGAAAATGCAAAACTAGTACACAATGTGCGAAATATTATTTTTAAATTCACGTCCATAGTCATTTCTACGACGCACGTATTGCAAGCCGGGGATGCGGCCTTGAGAACGAAAATAATTTAAAAACATATTCTTTCGTTAGAAAAATATGACGTAATCCAATAATGATTAAAAATAATTTTAGACGCTATCCATTGTTTGATTTTTATAATTTAAAAAATTACATTTTTAATGAAAATTTAGTTCCTAACATCTTATTGTTACTTTAGTATTACAATTTCTTTTTTTTTTGTCAGAGAAATTGTCCGGATGTTGTTAAATCGCGAATCTAAATATGTAATTGGACCTGAAAAAAGATAGGCATTACACATATTGTTCTGTAAACGTGAACACGTGGCGCGCAAGTGCGATCAACACGCAAGACGCGTGTAACGTGCTTTCCTTTGCTTACACTATCTTTTTTTATTAACCGTCAATGTGACAGTTTTTTTTTCTTTAAAATCCTGTCAATGGCCAGTTAGCGTTGCTTCTGTGCGTTTCAAAATGTTTTTTGCTAATAGTTTTGTTAATGGCCAGTTTTTCGTATTTTGTATTTCTTATCCTTTTGTTTTTTTATAGACTGTAAAGAGATATTTTTGTTTTTGTATTTTTTTTAATAAATTCATATTATTTATTAATAGTGTAGTTTTTAAATGGATATTCATGATTCTTGCACCATATTTTATAACTTTTAGATTTTCTAACCTAGAATTTAGTATAACACTAGCATTCAGTCTTGAATCCGTGGGCGTGGAACAAAAAAACAAAAGCCTATGTGTTCTTCCAGACTATCCTCTACATCTATGCCAAATTCCATCGAGATCCGTTCAGCAGTTTAGACTACAAACATCGTTTTAGCCTTAATGTAATGGAAGTTTCTAGTTTAGTAAATTAATTTCTAGAATAACAAATATAACACGTGTGGTCATAACTCGGCTATCAACCTCTCAGCAACATTGTTATAAGGTTGTGATCTTTGTCCAGATTAACCTTGTATAGACTCAGATAACTGTAGTGTGTGACTTTATCTACTAGCAATAAGAAATAGGCTGACTTCGCACGGGTATACTGATAGGAATATCTGTTTATTTACATCTTTACAATTATCAATATTTCTCTACTATATTACACATAAAAATCTTCCACTTGTATCAATCTATCTATTAAAAATTGCTTCAAACTCCATTGCGTAATTTATCAAAATCTAAGCATAATTAGCGACAGACAGACAGCGGCAATCTGTTTTGTTTTATACTATGTGGTAAAGAAATAAGAATCAAAGAGATAATGGTTGAATTGAAAAACGAATACGACGATGAAACGACCAATAAATAAGTCAATTTTGTGGATAATTCAGGTCTACATAATGCGGTATTACATGCTGACGTCTGATAAAAATGACCGGTCGATGAAAAGTAAATGTACGGGGACTCAGTCGACAAGAAATGCACATTGGAAAACTAAGGAATATTGAACTAACGCGCGCTAAGACCAGGCGCACACTTTTGACTAAACTGTTGCACAAATGTGTGATTGTCGATTGTTTCGCAGGCAATTCAACTGTTTAGTTGCACAACTAAAAATCCAGTAGTGTGCACTTCTATAGCTTTTAGGAATCAAACTCAACGAGATTAGACAGTTGTGCGACAGGTTAGTCAAAGAGGTGCCCGTGCTCTTAGATAATGTAAAATCTGTCACTCATTTGCAGATAAAACAAAAATTAATTAATAATAAGCTGTTGCAACATTTTGACAGAATTCGATGACAGCGCGGGAAAAGTTTTACAAATCCCGCCTTTTTCACAAATGTCAACATCATTATATCGTCCTTTATATTATCTTTGGCTGTCAGTTCGCGGCGACTTTTTGTGCAACTTATGTTTTTACGACTTTGAAAAACTTTGACATTTTTTTTTAAACAAGAAGCGTTTTATTTCATGTTTAACGACAACCACATAAATTATGGTCTTAAATACTAATAATATAATTATTACGGTTACTGACATAAAATTTAAAGCGTAGCAACTTGAATTTAAAAGTTTTATGTGGGAGGCGCCATTAGGATGTTTATTTTTTCTTTTTATTCTGAGAACAAAACATCAAATCTTCAAATAAAAGTTTGAACAAAATATTGAAGCAGATTTTCTTGTAATGTTTACCTGAATGTTTCACATATAAAAGGTGTTACCCTCTTTTTATTCATTACTGTATCTATGCCAATATTAATAAAGAGGACATATTTGTATTTTTGTATGTATTGAAATAACTCAAACTACTGGGTTGATTTCAAAAATTCTTTCACCATTAAAAACTGCGTTATCAGTATCATAGGCCATTGAATACGCGGACAAAGTGCCGAGCAGCTAGTCTTTAGTAAAAACATATATTTTAAAAATGTTTAACTAATTTTCTGCCTCTAGAATGGTCTATCCTGGGAAGTATTTAACCTCAAAACCTTCGGCTATTAAAGGGAGTAATCAGATAGCAGCAACCGTTTAAGTCGAGGTTCAGCCTTCTCGGGCGCCCTTGAATCGGAATGCTAAACGCGTATTGAATGACAGCCCAAGCCGAGGTCCCCACTCGGGGGCCCTTGTGCCTAGTCACTCTATGGAGCGTCCACCGAAGCGATCTAAGAGCTCGGTGGCCTCCCAATCCGGTAATAATAACGAAGTAACGGCTTGTGCCGAGGCTCCTGAGGGAGCCCTAGAGCTAAGTTACTCATAAACGAGGTTTAGGCTAAGCGCTATCTGCGCTCGGCCACCTCAAACCCAGTGAATCTGTAAATGCCTCTTCAAGGCAAACAGTGGCCATACAATCACAAAAAAAAGTATTAAAGAAACGGGAGTACTTTAACCAATAACTAAAGAAGCAAGTTTAGGATCAAAATCACTTCTTTAAAGGATTAATAAATCCTTAGTCTTAAATAAATCAATAAAATCCTTGAAATTAATGAAGACAGCAAAAAAGAACTACCACCAAAAATTTATTGCTGACATAATACTTTGTAAGGTAAATCAACCCTTAAAACAATAGACATAAGGACTACAAATTCAAGGCAAGTACAATATTATTACGAAGTATAAATCGGTAATCTAAAAAGCACATGTGCTTCTGTAGGGATACCATAAATTACGCGATTTAAGGATATTTCAAACGACTATATTATACTATATATATATTTTCAATAAAAAAAAGCATATTTTCTGTGCATGAGTAAATTTTATATTTAAATTTTTTTAAAACATTTTTAGGATAAACTAATAGGATTAGAATCATTACGTTGTTATTATTTAGATCCCTAGTGTACATTTCATGTGTTATATTATGAATAAACGACAGTTTAATTGCATATTTAGTATGGAAAAGACCTTTTATTTTGAAATTTAATATTTAATTTGGCTTTCGCATTTAATTGAGTTTACTTAGGAAGCGTTTAGTTAATGAAAAATAGACTTCTTAACTTCTAACAGGATTTTTCCAAGGATATACAGTAATATGGTTACCCTATAGTAGTAGTTAAGTTTTTTCGCTATCCTAAAAGCTCCCGTGTTATTCCCGGTTGAAAAGCAAACGGGTGCAGTCGTGCCCGACACGTGAGTGACAATTTATAAGTTCAACTGTCAGTTTGACAGCGCGCCAAAATTGTGACATTTGATCTGTGATAATTGACAAGTTTGTTGCGTTCGGAAAAGCGGTGAGTTAGAATATTTTGTTACTTATACTGCAGTATTCTTACATTCTCTTTCGTAAATTTATTTAACTAAATAATAAAGTCACTATTTATAATTCCTTAAAAAATTAAAAAACTTTAGTATGCACTTAACTTTTTTTAAAGTAATGATTTTGAATTAAATAAGAATTTATGTGTCTATCTACCGCACTCAGAGTTGTTAATTGGTCATTAAGGGGAATCTTGAGCATGATTTTTTGACATTCTACACTAAATAATGTAAGCATTCTAAGTGTAGCAGTAATAACAATTAAGTAAATCCTCCGTGTTCACACACTCCAATAATTCGTTAAGTATATAGTATTCGTATAGTATTCGTAAGTTGATCAAAGCCTTAATACAAACCTTATAAAGATTTGATGATTATTTCTTCAACGACCCCTTCAATAACTACCATACAAAATAATTGCAATTGCTATGCGATATTTGTTGAAATTTGCAAATGTCTATTGTGTCACAATAATTATTGTTATATACAATATCACATAATATTCAGATGTGTCCTCAATTAAATAATATAGAGAAATAAAACTTTGACTAAACAAAATGTCTCAATTACTTCCTCGGATGTGAGAATAGGTGGTGAAACACGTGTACCAAACGTGTTGTAATTCATTTTATAATTCGCAGATGTTGAAGCCACACGAGATCATAAGCAGAGAAAGTTTATTTTTATAATAATAAAGACACATGCGAAACTAAAGCAACCATATGCCAATTTACTAAGAGATTACTGAACCTAGAGGCAATTGAACCTTAGCAAAATGGCCGACTATGATATCATACCATGTTACGATGACGACGAACTATTCCAAGACAAAAGTGACAATGTAACTGATTTGCATGCATATTATATGTCACAATTTAATCTGGAATTAGAAAATGGTAAGAAATGTAAAGACAATTTTAAATATGGCGTCGAAGAGAGTTTTGATTTCGAAGTTCTTGATAATTGGAATGAAACTGAAAATAAAGATTTTGAAATAATAGACGAAGTATTGGATAGTAATATAAATGATCAAAATATAAAAGAGGTACTTTTAGATTTGGATGGTATTGAATTTGATGAAAATTACCAACAAGAAACTAAGAATAAAGAAGTGGAAAGTAATTCTAATAATGAATATATAGACGATGAATCTCTTATAGACGAATTATGTAGAGAAGAAGGCGAGACTTTATCACCTGATTTTAACGAGGATTATTTAAACACAATAACCAATGACAATCTTCTACCGTCAATTGAAACGGCATTTTCGAAACGTTATTGCAATTTTAATGCAGACGAATTCAATCAAGGGTACAATGAAATAACTCAAGCACAAACAAACACAACTATACATAGCTTAGCTCAGTACAGTTATCCAAACAATTTCATATATAATTTGGAAAATGAGAAAAAATACATTTTACCAGATACACCGACAAGTTGTAATGAATTTAGTTTTGATAGAAACGAGAGGAAAGCATCAATATGCGATTCAATCGAAAGTGATGTACAAAGTTCCTGTTATTATGATGAAAATTCGGAAAATTTCGATGAAGATGAATTGTTTATTAATTTGGATGATTTCGGTCTTAACTTTGAGAAGGATAACGAAGTTGCTATACAAAATAAAAACGCAATAGACAATAGAACGAATAGAAATGAAAGAAAGGATAAAGAGAGGACCCAAGGTGAGTGAAATTTTCTTGATATTTTAAGTCTATAATAAATGTAATGTAATAAAACATTTTATACTGTAAATTATCTTCAGATAAAAATGTGTTTAAATAACCAGAGACATTTGTTTACATTTCAGGTGAAAGGGTGTGTTTATGGGAGAATTGCTTAGAAAGGTATCCCAACCAAAACACATTGGTGGAGCATATTGAGAGAGCACACGTAAACACGTATAAAGGTAATAATTTGTATTAATAACTTATTATTTTTTCACTAATTCTAACCTAAAAAAAATGCTACTTTTATATGCAGTTAACAAAATTATTTACAGTTGTAGATATTACATTATTCTTCCTCTATACAACCTTTTTGTTTTTTTAATTACACTAGCTTTCGCTGTAGACTCCGTCCGGGTGAAATTAAATAAGAACAAAACGTAATACAATTATTAAGACTCTGTTCAACATCTATGCCAAATTTAATCGCAATTCGTTCAGCCGTTTGGCTATAAACTTTAACAAACATCCATCCAAAATTTCGCATTTATAATATTAGTATGATTAGTAAGATGGATTACGTTAACATAGCCATATGTTATTTGCATGATCAAAACTGTTGTTTATACTATTTATTTCTTACTAGCTTGCAACCGCGACTCCGTTCGCGTATTATTAAAATATGAAAGTGTTCTTCCATACTATTCTTTACGTGTGTACCAAATTTCATCGAAATCCGTTGAACCGTTTAGGCTACAAACTCTATCAAACATCCATCCAAACTTTCGCATTTATAATAGTAATTACATAATAATAGTTACATTTGCATGATAAAAACTGTAGTTTAGACGATTTCTTGTATTGTTCTTTCTAAAACCTTACCTTTCTTCCAGGAGATGAATTCAGCTGTCTATGGCGGGAGTGCGCACGCGCCCGTCGGCCATTTAATGCTCGTTATAAATTGCTGATACATATGCGCGTTCATTCAGGACACAAACCTAATCGATGTCATGTAAGTAACTATGATATTAACTAAGTTTTTAGTGTGTTTCAAGGACACTTGGTCCTTTGTTATTCCACTGCTGAACGTAGACATTACCTATGGAAGGTCAGGACTACCGTCTTGGTTAATACAAAGAATTTAATAAATAATTTATACTAGTATAATTAGAAACTTTTCTACAATCTTTGTTTGTTCGAGATTGTAGACTAAACTGCTGAACAGGTCTCGATTAAATTTAGCATAGATGTAGAGGACAGTCAGGAAGAACACATACGCTATTTACTATTTTTTTTAATTCCTTGGTGAAAATGAATGAAATTTATAATAATGGCCAGCCACCACTACAACTTAGGGACTTTATGTAGTTAACATTTTCGTGGTTCTTGTTTGAAAGAAGAGATATCGGGAGTTCAAGATATCTATGTTGTGGTTAGAATATACTTCAATCTTCTTTGTTTATTTAATAACGTCACCTTCTGGACAACATAAATAGGTAATTTAATAATATAAATGTCCCTCTCCAGCATCCCGGTTGCGGTAAAGCGTTCTCTCGTCTAGAGAACTTGAAGATCCACGTGCGATCCCACACCGGCGAGCGGCCGTACGCCTGCCCCGCGCCGCACTGCAGGAAGGCCTTCTCCAATTCCTCAGACAGAGCCAAGCATCAGAGGACGCACTTTAATGCTGTAAGTTGATAAGAGAATAGATTAATTGAACATTGGCGTAATAGGACGTGACGATCTTGAGCCCCACTTTCTTTTAGATGTATGTTTTTTTATATTATAAGGTGTCAAACGAGCAAGCAGCAACTTGAATCTGTTGAAAAGGCGAAGCAAACGCTACCCATAGAGACCGCAAATTGTAGATGCGTTGCCTACCCTTAATCGAGGAGACGCACATGAAGAGGAGATACCCTTCCTGCGACTCCTCCACCGTCAAATCCACTTATCAATATCAATAAAACTTGCTTTTTTCGCAGAGACCATATGCTTGCGGTGCAGCCGGCTGCGGGAAGAGATACACGGACCCTTCATCCCTCCGTAAGCACGTAAAGTCGCACCCCCACGTGACCAGCGTGCCTCGAACCTGCATCCCTCCTTCAAGGCCGCTCCGCAGACCGGAGCACGAGCAGATGGTGCCCAGCTCGCCGGCAAAGTTGACAACTCTAAGATGTATCAGAGACAAGCTTACAGTACCGAAATTACAGAAACTTTAATCCTTTCCGTGCTGGCGCTTACAATTTAGCACATTGAAATTGTAGTTGCCTTGTAGATGTTAATTGAAGAGCAAAAAGTCCCAATATTGTATTTGGATATCTTTCGATCAGTATCGATGGTAGGGTAGAGCGATTGCCCAGGGCGCTGGACATAAAGGGGCGTCACAAGCGCCTTTTTGTATGGGTTTATATTGCAGTAAGAAGGCACTGTAGAAATGCCCAGGGCACCAGTAATGTTAAAACTGTTTCCTCGTAACATAGTAATACAAGTTTCAATATTGGTGTGAATAGCAAGGAATAATTGAATCGGTAATTCATTGAAATTAAGATTAGGTATGTCAAATATTCAAGAAATCTTGATGGTTTTTGGTAATAACACCCATAGAAGACTAAGAAAAGGCGTTGTAGGAATATTTTTATGTTTTCTTTTTAATGATACTGTAAAAAGCTCAAATTCGCTCAATCCAAAGACTGTAAAATACAATTGGCTCAAATAGTATAGATGTTAAATATTTATGTTTAAGTTATGTTTACAAATGTGTTTAAAACACAAAACGCTCACCTGGTTGTGGGGATCAATTATGTACAATATTAAGTTTTTTTTTAAATCTTAGGTAAAGGGGATTTTTATCTTGGGAAAGACATGCCAATCCCATAGTGCTGCTAGTGGATCCTAAGAAACAAGCTGGCATAATCGTATAGCCGCTTCAGATGCTGGCTCAGCCAAATATTAAGCTTGTTAGTTAACACAAAGACTAATTAGTACTAGAATTTTTTGAACCATGGCCAAAAAACTTTTAATCTTCCTATTAGATTTTGCAAATATTTTTTTACAGTTTTAAGGTTTAATAGATCGTTTGTTTAAGTTTAAAGTATTAGTAACTTTTTATGCAGTTTAATGGTGTCTAACACAGATCTCTACGAACTCAGAGGGTCTATCACGAATATTTGTGTGAAATTTGTATGTTGGTGTAATTTACGCTGCAAGAATAATATAAACTAGTTGTTCCCATACGACTTCATCCGCATAGAATTATAAAAATTTCATTTTATTGTTTACATTTGTCAAATTATTAATTGCAAATGTCAAAATGACATAACATGATGTTAAACCATGCCAACCTTGCTTTCTTGATGTTGGCAACAACTTATGGTCTCTTTCCTACATTAGGGTTTTTATCCAAAATATTTACCCTTAAATTTTACGGCGTGAAAATATATAGCCTAAAGCGTTACGTAAGTGTAGGGCTTTTTATTAAAAACAGAGTTATTCGAAAATAAGCTGTGATTGCTGACATCTTAGACGATAAAGAAGTGTGTGTTTACGCTTTATTATATTAGTATAAAAGTATAAGTATAAATTTGTCGATTACGTTACAAAAACGTTCTCACTAATATTCGTGATAAGCTCTCAGTTGTGTTTACGATACATTTATAGATTTATAGTCGAAATCTTTATGAGATCTTTGAGATCCAGCAGAAAATTATACTCGTATGTAACGGAGTAGAAACTTTCTTTGTCGCTTTTTGAACATTACAAAGTTTCCGAAATGCATTTAGCATTAAAATTTTAATTAAGAGATAGATTTATCTATCGTAATCAATACTTTTTATGCTGTAAGTAATAATTCCAAAACACCTATATTTGCTCAATTTTATAAGTTAAAATGATATTTTTTAAGTTACTATTTCTATTAAGTTTTAATGTAAGGTTTTATAAGTTTCTTTTTTATAAAAAATCTAAGTTATGCTCAACTAAAAATGATATATTAATTGAAAGTGGAAATGTAATAACTTATTTTTTAAAAGAAATTGTGGCTACAGTTAAGCTTAAGCAAAGTATAACTTCAGTCAAAGAATAATTACTTCTATCAAATGACAAACATAAAAAGAACTGTTCCTGGTGCCATCTACTTCTAACTTTTAGTAATCTCTCCATCCTATGTTTCGATACTAATATTTTAAAGAGAGATTTGTATTTTTATATGTATTGAAATAACTCCGAAACTACTGTTCGGATTTCAAAATCATTATCACTGTGACATAGGCTATATTTTTTTATTCCACGCAGGCGAAATCGCGAGCAATAGCAAAGTTATCAACCAACATCTCGTTTTCTGACCCGTTGGAAAGGTCACTTATGTAACTAGGACCAAAGCCTACTTGGCAACTAAATTGGGATAGCTGTATCGATGTACAAATTTGCATGCTTTCCAAAGAATCTCTTTGATTTTTATAATAGTTTTATAAGTGTAATTTCCATTTTAAGATCTCTACATTGCTCACTTTTATTAGGTAGATTTGACAGAGACTGTCATTTATTTTTTAAGTTGATATTGTAAAGAAAATAAAAATTTTTGTCTTTGCCTTTTGTGTTTTGTTTAATAAATAATTCCTGAGTTTGTAGTTTCTTGGGATAAATGAAATTATCATAATATTGATTTCTATCTATAACAGCATCTTAATTCATTTATTTCAAGAAACTAATTTATAGATACGAAAGGCAATATATCTTTCCTATCCTATCCTGGATATCTTGCCTATTGCCTGTTGCAAAAAACTTTCTAAACAATTGGTTTTTATTATGGCTTAATCAATTATTGACTCGCTAGCTCTTAAAAATTGTTCATTTACAAGCAAACCGCCCCGGCTTCGCACAGGTGCAATGCTAATACGAAAATATGTATTTACGACATCGCATTAGTATTTCTTATATCACTAATTTTACTAGTATTTCTCTGCTAAATTATACACAACCTTTCTTTTGAATCACTTTATTAAAAACTGCTTCTAACTCCGTTACACAGTTTTAAAGATCTAAGCATACGTAGGGACAGAAAGAGAACGGGAAACGCCTTTGTTTCATACTAACTTTGTAGTGAAGTCGTTTATTTCATATTTTGTCTAATTATTATCCCTAAAATGTTTGTAAAAACACTTTGTCTCAGCTGTTGCCCTTGTCTAATTCGATTAATCAGCGAAGTGATTAATACGGTAACCTAGCATTGGCCTAAGCGTTCGTACCTACAAAATCTAGATACAATGTTGTTATCATAGAAAGTACATGGCCTAGGGTCACTGCGGCGCACGTGTAAGTTCATATAAAAGCGGTGTGGAGACCAGGATGAGACAGAAGTGTCTTCTCAATCGGCAAAACCACCAACATCTGCTGACAGACCTAACTCAAGATGAAGTTTCTGGTGATAACGGCGCTTTTCGGTGAGAATTATTCTTAAATTTCCATCATATGACAGAATATTACTTGATTGTATATTATTTCTTATATCTTAAAATAAAAATTGATATTTCGCTAATTTATCTTAATTTTGCTTTTTAAATTTTGTTGTATTATTTTGGTATTCCTTCGCCTAAGTAATTTTTAACGTACGATTTTTTTTTGGATCAAGGAAAGTGTTTATTTAAAAATTTAAAATTTACGTAAAATATTACCATAAATGAAACATATTTAACTCCGTTAACTTAACCATTTGGAGTATAAGGTTTAATTTTCTACTATAGTCTAAAAGGATTTTTTTTTGTTTATTAGTCGCCGTTTCATCTGGCCGCTTAAGCAGTGAAAACCAACAATCCAAAGAGACACAGCAATGGCCATGGCAAGCGGGCAAGGTATACCGCTACGATGTGAAGTCCCACACCCTAGCGCGCCTGCACGAGGGTGCTAGCTCAGGCAGCGCGTTCAAGGCTAGGCTCATTGTGCGCGTCAAGGCGCCCGGACAACTGCAGGCCAGACTTGAAAACCCCCAACATGCACAGGTCAACCAGGAACTTAGGTCGGACGGTCAATTACCTCAAGACCTCAAGTACCAACCGGCGCAAAATCTCGATAAACCCTTCGAGATCAACCTTGTGGGTGGTCGCGTTCAGTCCCTCAACTTGCCATCATCGGTACCACTAGCTCAAGAGAACTTGCTCAAAGGTCTCATCGGCGCTCTGCAAGTCGACCTCTCTGCACACAGAAACGTGCGCAGCCCTCACGACACCTACGATAAAGATATCCAGCAGGGTAACTTCAGAAAAATGGAAACCGACGTCACTGGTGACTGTCAAACTTTGTACACAGTATCCCCAGTGGCATCTGAATGGCGTCGTGAGCTGCCCAAATTCGCAGAAGAAGAGGAACCGATTGAAATCACCAAGAGCAAGAACTATGGCCACTGTCATCATCGCGTCGATTACCACTTCGGTGTGCCCGAAGGCGCTGAATGGGCCGGTACCGCTCACAAGACCGGTGAAGACCAGCTAATCAAACGAGCCACCGTTGCCCGTATCCTCGCCGGCAAACAGGGTCCTATCTACAAAGCGGAAACTACCAGTACTGTTCACGTGCATCCTCATTTACACGGCAAACAAAAGGCCGAAGTACACAGTCATGTGAAGGTAACGTTAGACTCGCAAGAACAGGACAACGAGCCTGAGTGGGAAAAACCAGAAGGTGGCCGACCGATTCAAAATCTCTTGTATTCCCTTACACCCAAGCAGGTGAACATCGAAGACAGTTCCTCGTCGTCATCATCCTCATCTTCAGAATCTCACGAGCATCGCGATCAACAGGAATATAATCAGGAATCCCCAAAAAACAGGCAACGCCGTTCTTCAGGGCCCAAAAAGATTGTAACTGTTAACAGGGTCGTTATTAAGAAGCGTAGTAGTGATCGTTCTAGCTCATCAGATTCGTCAAGTTCCAGTCAGTCGAATTCTGCGTACATTAACGATGATGTGCCAAGGAGCAACGAACCAGCATACGCCGCTCTTTACTTGAACCCTCAACCACATGGCGACAAGAAACAGAACCCGATGAACGCCCAGAAACTGGTCCAGGAAATTGCCCAGCAATTACAGAATCCCAACAACATGCCTAAAGGTGACTTCCTTTCCAAATTCAATATTTTGGTACGTATTATTGCATCTATGAGCTCGGGACAACTGAGCCAAACCAGTCGCAGTATCGAAATCGCAAAGTCCTCAAACAACAACGTCAAATCTGATATGTGGATGATCTATCGTGATGCAGTCACACAGGCGGGTACCTTACCTGCATTCCAACAGATCAAATCTTGGATCGAGACGAAGAAAATACAAGGAGAAGAAGCCGCAGAAGTAACAGCATCTCTGCCAAATACTCTTCGCTATCCCACAAAGGAACTGATGGCACAATTCTTTGAACTTGCTATGAACGATGAAGTTCGTCAACAGAGGTTCCTTAACAACAGTGCTTTGAATGCCGCTACCAAGTTCATCAACAAGGGCCAAGTTAACAACAGGACTGCCCACTCATTCTACCCCACTCACATGTATGGACGTTTATCTAGCAAAGACGATGACTTCGTCCTTAAGCAAGTTCTACCACGCCTTCAACAGGAATTATCGCAAGCGGTACAAAACGAAGATCGTCACAAGCAACAGGTTTACATCAAAGCAATTGGCAATTTGGGACACCGAGCTATCCTAGAAGTATTCGCTCCGTACCTTGAGGGCCATATCAGAGTGTCAAATTATATTCGCACTCAAATGGTGAATAACCTACAAACTCTGGCCAAACAAGGAGACAATCACGCTCGCGCTGTGTTGTACAGTATCTTGAAAAACACTGCTGAACATTATGAAGTTCGAGTCGCCGCTATTAGGAACATTTTCATGGGACGTCCTAACAGTCCTATGATGCAATCTATGGCTGAAATGACTCATAATGATCCCAGCATTCAAGTTCGTGCCGCATTGAAATCTACCATTGAATCAGCGGCTGCGTTGAAGAATCCTCGTTACTTCGATCTGTAAGTATACTACAGTTTATTGAATGAGTGTCGTATCAAAAACTTGTACTTAGTATTAATTTTATTACAGTGCCCGAACTGCACAAGCTGCCAAGGATATGCTGACCAAGGAAGACTTCGGCAGACAAGATTCTGCTAAGTACTTTGACGAGAACCATGATGAAGATAGCGACAATACCATCTTGAGTGTCGTCTCCCAAATTGGTAGCCGCGACAACCTTTTGCCTAAGCAATTTAACTATGTGTTGAAGAACAAAGCTGGAGGCTGGGATAAACCAGAATCAGTGAGTAGCCTTATTCTTCATATGTTTAAATTATTGCTCTATTAGTCTCTAAAAAATCTGTAAAAGGTTTCAATAGATTTATGAGGAGTCTGGAAATCAATTTAATGTTTTTATAATACTTTATGTTTTTTCAGATTTCTGCATCTGTATCGAGCGTTCGGAAAGTTATGGATTACTTAAAAGAGCAATTGTTTGGTAAAAATCCAAGAGACAACAACGATGATGCTAACCACAAATATTCTGCCCAGAAGGTCGCTCAGATGCTGAATATCAAGCGTGACAATGATGAACCTTTAGGCGCATCGTTCCAAGTTAACTTTATGAACCAGGATAGATTCTTCGCTTTCGATGAAGGCGATTTACAACTGTTAGCCCAAAGCATTAAGCAATACGCTCAGGAATTCCAAAAGGGAGTCGACAAGCATTACACGAAGGTGTTCAACCAGGACCAAGTTTCCGTCATGTTCCCAGTAGCCACCGGTATGCCCTTCATCTACAAATACAAGGAACCAACTGTCGTCCACATCATGAGTAAGGCAAAGGGTCAATACGAAATGAAGTCGCCGAAAGAATTCTCTGGATCGATTGACAAGAACATTCACTTCACATACGCTAAGAATATCGATGGTAGCGTTGGTTTCTTGGACACGTTGTCGAACCAACACTCTAGTGCTGGAGTCGTTAATAAATTCCAGTTGCACATCCCAATTAAAATGCAAGTCCAAATAAACACCAGAGACGTTCAAGTATCTGTTACTTCGCTGGAACCGGAGCAGGATCACACCATCTTGCATTACAGCTCTTGGCCGTACACCGCTAACCAGAAGAAGGATACACTTACACCAATCTCTCAAGACCCGACCACTAAATTGGTCGCACGTAACAACAAAGTTGTCGCTTTCGATACTAAATTTGGTCAACAAGTCGGTGTACAATTCCAACTTCAAGGATACTCGTATTCTAACGATTACAAGAGCATAAGAAACAAATATGATTGGGACCATCCAGTTTCGAGCATTGCATCTGCCATATACCAGAAAGACATTGCTCAGACACATTTCAACCTTAAACACCTTGGAAAACAATCGAAGAACAAGGACATAAAGTTAACGTTTGCATACGGTTAGTTTTTTAATCGTTAAATCATTAAAAAATCTCTGAATTTCCTACAATATTTACAATATCTCTTATTTACAGATGAGTTCTACAACCAAAAGCAAGATGGTCAGTACAACCCTACTGCTTCTGAGGTTAAAGACGCATCACCAAACAGCGAAGATCGCCGCAAGGAGCTCGTCAAGAGAGCAGTTACTGGCATCAACACGGCGAAAGCACAGGTAGTCGACTTCAGTGTAACATTCGAGGGACCACAGAAAGTAGAATACGTAGCCACAGCCGCTATCGGTGACAGCCCCGTTGATGACAAGATTCAATACGCTATTTTCGCTGGAAAGAACTCGCCCCAAGGCAACAGCCAAATTAACGGCGTAGGTAAACATAACAAACCTGAACCGACAACTTTCAACTACCAAGAGGCTCTGAAGAAGGACCTTAAGATGCCTTTCGACTTCGACATTCGCTACGGACCAAGTGGAAACATACACATCAACGGTCAGGCAGAGCGCAGCAAGAAATACGGCGACGAACTTAAGAATCAACCACAGGCCAAACAATGTGACGAGGAGATTGCTCAAGGCAACCAATACCAACGCGCTTGTTACCAAATGATCGTAAGATCTCAAGCTCCTGACAGCCTGAGGGCGACGGTGACCTACAAAGATGTGAGCCCAGCTGTCAAGAACTTGGCATTCCAAGCCTACAAAATCGCTGAAAGCCTGGGCTTCTGGCAAACTGAAGTAAATCCTTTCAAGACGTTGCCAGAGGGTAGACTGGAATTTAGCGCTGAAGCATCGTACTTAACCAACTCTCTGCATTTGGCTCTGAACTCCAGATACGGCGAAGTTCAGGTTAGGAATATGCACATACCTGATGTCGCTGCTCACGCCGCATCCGCCTACAGGCCATTCAAGACTCAAGAACGTGTAGCCAACCACTACAGCCGTCAACAATATCAACGTAAGTTTTATCTTTTGCGGTTGATTTAACACTTTTTGTTACACAGTCATTTCAGTATAGTAAAATTTACGTTTACAAATTAAGGTTAAGTCGCAGAAACAAATCTCATTGTACATCCAAGTATCTGATAATTATTTTTTTATAAACAGCTTACTGCTCCGTTGATGGTACAAGAGTGAAGACATTCAGCGGCCGTAGCTACGAGTACCCGTTGACAAAGTCCTGGCACGTTGTTATGCAACAGGACGCCGAGTACCCCGGCCAGTCGAGAGAACAGTTCGCCATCTTAGCAAGGAAGCCTAACAACAACGAGAAACAGCAGGAGCTGTACATATCGTACAAGTGAGTTCTACTTATCAATACTATATGTACTTCTAGCTTTCACCAGGGACTTCGTCTACGCGGAATATAAAAGAAAAAACTTAGTAAGTAGCCCATGTGATCTACCAGACTATCCTCCATATCAATGCCAAATTTTAGAGAGATCTGTACAGCTGTTTAGGCTACAAACTCTAACAAACATTCCTCCGTCCACCAAACTTTCTCATTTATAATATCAGGATTGAAGGATATTTTTTCTGAAGACGTGAAACTAATTGTGATTTTTTTAACAGATGCGAACACGGCAAACACTTGGAAATCGAAATCCAGCCCACTGAAGGTTCCAAACAACAGCAAGTCAAAGTGACAACCAACACGAAGAAGGTTTCTGATGGTGATTTGACAATGTACTGGGATGACGATGAAGACAAACCTATTCTGCAATACCACACGGAATCCGATGGAACTCTCATGCTGAACATCCGCGAGGATCGCCTTCGTATCATGTATGATGGATACAGATCGGTAGTGCTGAACCGCGAAAGCCGCAACAGCTCCAGAGGCATCTGCGGACAGATGAGCGGTGAGAAACGCGATGATTATCTTACACCTAACGGCCTCGTCGACAGACCCGAACACTACGGCGCTTCTTATGCTTTGGACGATGAGAACAGTGACCCTAAAACAAAACAGTTGAAGGAACAAGCTAAGGAGAAGGCGTACGAACCCGAAACCCACTACACTACCATTCTCCGATCAGACCAAGAGTGGAAAAACGCAATGCAATCGTCATCCTCTTCAGAAGAAGATTGGGGATCACAGAACGTGTACAGATCGAGGAGTTATTCGAAACAACGTGGACCATGCAAAGTCCAACAGCAAGTTCAGTACTACGAGAACCACGGAGAAATTTGCATCACCACCAAACCGTTAGACGCTTGCCAGTCCTCTTGCCGCGGTGATGGCTACAAGGTCCAGGCCGCTCAGGTCGTGTGCAGACCAAAGTTGGACCAGCAGTTCCGCGCGTACAGAGACCAGATTAAACAGGGTCAAAACCCGCAGGTGAACGGTGTACCACAGAACAAGCAATTCAGAGTACCAAGTTCTTGCCAAGCGTAAAATAATTCACCATTAACTTGACCAGGCGTGACATTGGACCGATTAATATAATAGATATATGTATTTATATATTATTTATTTATTATATAATATAGTATGCTATCAATTTGACTTTATAGTATTTATATATCACAAAATTATTGTATGTATTTTTATATAAATCTTATATATCGTTTATATATTTAAACTAATTTTGTATAGTATTATTATAAATAATATAATGTAGATGTAGTAAGCAAATGAAAAAATAAAAACAAAAAAAATAATATTATAACGAAATATATGAAGTAAAAAATAAATACTGTTGTTTATGATTTTCTTAAAATACTCATATGTAAACATTCATTAAAGGAAACAAGTAACTTTACGACTCACCTTTCTCAAATATTCGTTTGAAATTCGATTTGCAACAAAAAAACTCAAAATCTACACTAAATTGAAGAGAGCAAACACAAAACTGTATAAGTAAACAACTATGTATAAATAACAATTTATAACAAGTATTAATAAAACACTATTTTAATCAAAGAAATATTATACCTACAAAAATGAACTTTTTTAACAACATTCACTGTCAGAATTTTACAAGAATGGCGTCGACATATTTAGTTTTCTGAAGCCAGTGGCTTTTGTTTCTATTTTAAAACAAAAGAAGTTTGCAATTCTAACAATTAAATAGTTTTAACTGTTAAAATAATAAAAAAAATAAGGAAACTAAACACTTTTAAATGGGTCTACGAATTTACGAATCTACCGGCCACATCAGTGTTGCCAATGTTATGGCAATAGACGTGTCCTAAGGTATTCGGGTCATCAAATTGTAGATTGTAGATTCTGTGGTTTTTCTAAAATCTACAATAATTCATTGTTTTTCTTTAATGAATTCGATTTTAATAGCCTAAGAATAAAAAATAAAAAAGTTGTTAATCAACAGTGATTTAGACCTAGAATAATGAAATTCAAATAAAATATTTCCAATTTTATAAAAGGAAATGGTGGGCAATTAACACAGTTCATTGATATTAAAAACGATAAAATAGCGACATTTACGTAATGTTGAAAAGTTTTCCTTTTTTTTAGTGGTGTTCCGTCCACCGATGAACTTTTCCCATGCAAACATGGTTTTTTAACACGATGTGCCCGGCCGGGTAAAAATGTTTACTGGCAGCACTTTGCCGCATCCCGAAATCAGCTGTTTGTCAGTGTATGCGTTTTTCTCCTGGTAGAATTTCCTAACTGCTTGCTTGTTTCATTTATTTTAATAGAAAATTCTGTACTAAAGCAAGAATTAATTTGAAAATAGTTGTTATCTCCGTGATTAGCAAGTCATATTAAACTAGTGTTGTGTTCATTTTGAATTTCGAAGCCTTCTACATTGGGTAAGTTTTCAAGTCGAAGTTTTCATATTTTATTTTGCTTTTATTTACTGTAATTCATAACTATCTAACAGACAGATAAACAAGATGAAACTGTGAAGGAACCATGATGGATTCTATATTTCTTCAATGTATATTGGAAGTTAAAATTAATATTTCTGTTAAAACTTAACTATAATAGGAGAAAGGGAGAGTAGGAGAGGAAGAGAGAGAAAAAAACGTAAAACTAATTAACTATTTTGACCAATACTTAAGAGTTTTTCATTAGAAAATTGTGTGACATTGAAAAATAATCACTTCGTTATAAAATAAATTGATTTAACTATTAGTCCCTTTGTAATTAACCTAGAAGAAACGGTTAATGTTGTTTTCTTAATGTGTTTTATCAGCAGAAACCCTTAACCCTAGATAAATAAACATCATACTAATATTATAAACGCAAAACTTTAGATGGACGTATAGATGTTTGTTAGAGTTTGTAGCCTAAGCGGCTGAACCGATTTCTATGAAATTTGGTATAGATGTAGAGGATAGTCTTTAAGAACACATAGGCTACTCTCACTTTTGTTTTTTTTATTCCACTCGAACAGAGTTGTGAGCAAAAGCTAGCAATGAAATAAAAGTAAAAATCACATTTTTTATCCGAGTCCAGCTAAGAAGTTTTTGCCTGATATCTTATTTTTAGTTAAATATCATTCACATATTTTATACTACACCTATTCTTTTGATAAAAATGCAACCTCTGTTTAGTATATTTATTTTTTTGGGTTCCGTATCTAACCTGAAGTGACAGTGACTTAAGATCTTATAAAGTATGCTCCGTTGAGCTTTGAAAACAGACATTTGTTTTTTTTTAATTGACATCTTGTCTCAATGCTGGTTGTTTTGCAATAAAGATAATTTAATATCATTTGATTATTGGTTCCTTATATTCAAAATTGTTAAAATACTTACTTCATTATTACTAAACATATTAAGTTTAAATCATGTGGTCTTTTTGAAAGAGATGCTGTAGTAAATGGTCCTAATAAATTTATGTTAGTAGATTTTGGGGTAAACATTTACATTTTTATTTTATAGTGGTTAAGTACATCTATGTGAAAAGTTTATGTGCCTGGTAGATTTTAATAGCAAAATGTAAAAATCTAGGATAGATGTAGCTAACGGAAAGGCATCTTCATATAACTGTGTTTATAATTTTTTTTTATGTTTGTTTTATGTTCTTGTCAATTTCAAATCTCATAATATAACAATTTTTCAAAGTGAAATTCATATATTTGCTTAAAACAAAACTGACTTCAACATTTGATTACTAGATGGCGCTATAGAGCGATCTTGGTAATTAAAAACACAAAAGAAGGCCAAATTGCATTGTTTTAACCACGCAGGTTATTCCAATCATTACGTAAAATCAACAACGAGACGTAAAACTCGATAGTCATTAAAATGAGAACAAAAACTTTTAATAGTCTACAATTTGCAACTTCTTGTGTATTAACTTGACATTCAAACGTCCTCTACAAGTCTTACGGTAATTTTTTGTTTATCTGTGGTTACGTGAGTTGGCTCGCGTCGACCAATGAGAGCGCGCCAACAGGAGGCGCGGCGCTGACGCATGGCTGACGCAACAACGACGCGTGTTGATTTTTGGCGGCAAATAGATTAGTCATAAATATTATTTATTGTTTAGTTTGTTGAGTTTTCCTTGTATAGTTACTATTCAAAAGTATGTATCATAAGGTAAATTTTATCGACTAAAAAACTTATTTGGAAATGTTTTTAGATTTCTTTACCGGGAACTTTTAGACTAGTATATAAAATCAAGCTAAGGCCTTCGAAAGCAACTACAGATAAAAGATACAGTAATTTTAGACGTCAAAAGTGTGGCTAAAAATAGATCAAACGATAAGGAAGTTAGGCCTATTTTATTCCAGTCCAGTGATTGAATCCAGCGTCGCTTAACTTGTATATTTTTTAACACACTCGTACTCACACTGGATAAATGTAAAAAGTACATTAAGTCTTTCAAAATTGTTAGGTATTACTGCATACTAGATCTAGACTACATCGATGAACTTAGTAATGTACTAAGCGTAAGCCACATTAAGAGGGCGCATACTTTGACCAAACTATCGCACTGTAGTGCGATTGTCGATTGTTTCGCAGCCAATTCAACTGTTTAGTTGCACAACTAAAAATCGAGTAGTGTGCGCATCAAAGCGAGACTAATCAGTTGTGCGATAGTTTAGTTTCATTATCACATGAAATATATCAAAGTACTTCTCATGTCTCTTATCAATATTGCAACATTATTAATCATTCTTATCTTTATAGATCGTAATGAGTCCTGTTATATTCTAATGATATAGGTGGAAGGATTTTCATGTTTCGTACATGTAATGGTTTAAAAACACTACAAATGCATGCTTAATCTTAGGTTCTAGATTCAGAGACGAAAATCTTTTCATACTTTTCATATAAATGTAAACTTAAGTAGTCTCCTAGACTACTAGTAAAGTATTGTATTATCTACTAGCTGTTCCCGTGCGACTTCATCCGCATAAAATTATGAAATGTTTTAATTTTATTGTTTACATGTGTCAAATCAATTGCTGATGTCAAAATGACGTGACATGACAAAACTTGGCAATTTTGCTTTCTTGATGTTGGCAGCAACTTATGGTGTCTTTCCCACATTACGGTTTTTATCCAAAATATTTACCCCCTAAGATTAATGGCGTGAAAATATATAGCCTAAGGCTTGACGTAAGTGTAGGGCTTTTATTAAAAAAAGAACTATTCAAAAATATGCTGTATTTGCTGACATTTTAGGTAACATAGAACTGTGTGTTTACGCTTTATTATAACAGTATAGATTATAAAGGTAAACATTCCCTTTAATAATCTATTAAAAACTGCATCAAAATCCGGTGCGTTTTAAAGATTTAAGCATACATAAGGATTATTCCCAACCGTCAACCCACTCTGTCCTCACGTGAGAAGAAAAAGTTTCATCCGTCCTACCTTTTAGTCCCACTTAATAAGGTGACATAAAGAACCGTTCTGAAATAAAGTTCAAACCGTCCTCTCGGCGCAAAAGGTGGGACGGATGAAACTTTTTATTCTCATCTGTTCCTACGTGGAGACAGAGCGGGGTGACGGAGGGGAATAATCCATACAAAGGGACGGACAGCGGAAAGCGACTTTCGTTTATACTACGTAGTGAAGTTAGATGACGCAATATTGTATAATCATATGCTAGTACTGACTTAACGTCGGCTTTCACTGGCACAAACATCCGTACAAAAGATAGAACTATCTCAAATTTTATAAAGAGAATGAGTGAGACGAAATGTTCTATTCTAAATTTACGTCAGTGATAACTAATATTTGAAAAATTGTCATTAGTAATGTTGATTAGATAATCTAACTAATATAAATACAAAAGTTTAGATAGATGGATGTTTGTTAGAGTTTGTAGCCTAAACGGCTGAACGGATCTCGATGAAATTTGGCATAGTTGTAGAGGATAGTCTGGAAGAACACATATGCTACTTACTTTTATATTTCCACGCGGACGGAGTCGCGGGCGAAAGCTAGTGTTTAATATGACTTTTATGTTTATGAGATTTCTTAACGTTGATCTAAAATACAAATATCAGCCTGCAACTTGGCATTTAAAGAGACTAACTAGATAATAATAAAAAAAAATAAAAAATACAGGCGAATTGAGTACCTCCATCTTTTGGGAAGTCAGTCAATAATCACAAAGGGTAAAAGTTCAAAACAACCTCTCTAACTGGATATTTAGTAGTTGACCTATAACCAAGGTCAAAGTATTATTTTTCATAAATTAATAGACTAGGTGATATTTAGATTCCGGATACGAAATGAAACCGGTTGTACAAAAATCTACTTTTTGCGATGAAATACACAAAAACTGGTAGTTGTTAAAAAATATTTATTTGGCTCCAAATATATTTATCCCCAGTACTAGCGTTTTAGGCGATCTTTCTGGGTGCCATAGGCGCACACAGTGGTCCCGGGGAATCTTTTTCGTGTTAGTTTATATTGCATTGCTCGCGACTTCATCTACGTGGAATTAAAAAAAATATAGCCTATGTTACTCGGACGTTAGTTATGAATGTGGAGGGGTACACCGGTAGAGGTAGACCTGGAAAGAGAAGGATGGATTGCGTGAATTGACATGATCAAGAAGGGAGTGATGACTGATCTGACGGATGATAGAATGCTTTGGAGGAGGAAACCCCGTGCGCCGACCCTATGGGAGTAGGATAAGTTACTCAGTAATAACGTAGCTTTTTAAGGGAGAAAGAATTTTTGAAATCGGTCCAGTAGTTTTTGAGTAATTTCAATAAAACTAAAATAATATTAGTATAGATTTAGGGGAGGCCATAGAATACTTGGTTTCTACGATGATGTCAGTAATTGTTTAACTTTTGGAATACTAAATAACCAAACTAATGAACAGGCAATTTAAGCAAATGAAAATATATTACCACTAAAATCAAGACAAGAACAGCCTTGATGTGCGAATTTTAAATTTGTCAACAAATATCAGATTATTAGCGCCTATTGTAAATGCTATACGGTTCAATTTTGTCTAATATGTTATATAATTTACGGAACTGATTGACGGAATTAATGAAGGTCACTGTGACAAGTGAAAAATTTCGCAATTATTTATTCTAATACGAACTCAAGATTGTTTTAATTAGTAGGGGTTTTCCATTGAATTTGCAAGACATTTACTGGTAGAAACCTAAACGGTAATATGTACAAGAATGAGTCCACATCATAAAAAAAATTCAACTTAAAATCTTTAGGAAGAAAAGTTTAATATTCTTAGACTTAGATGTTGCTCGTGACTGTCCACGTGAAAGAATAAAATTAACAAAAAAATATAGTCTATGTTACTTACAGATAAATCACCTTCCTGGTGAAATTTTTTTTTAAATCTGCCCAGTCTTTTACGTGAATCA